CAACCTAATACATATTTAAATAATGACAACATATTTAAATTCACATTCCAATTTACACATCATCAAAGAAAGAACTAACTAAAGAATTATTTTTTATATCCACAAACTTACTACATGCACAAACTTTTGACAAAAAATTAAAATGAAATGAACAATTAAAACATAAAAGAAGATTATCAATTTAAACAATTGTAGAAAAATATTATCTCAATGTTTTAAGTTCCACAATTCAGAGGGAGGCACATGCAGGAGAAGGAAAGAAAGCAGTAGAATTGGTGGGGAGCACCTAAGCCGAACGATGGAGGAAGCCGAAACCGTGTTTTGTAAAAATTAATGTGGATGAGGCGGTTGATCAGGTTGGAGGTGTTAGAGTTTGAGGGTGGATTCTTCGAGATGAGCAAGGAGAATTTGTAAAGGCAAAAGAGGTCTCACACAAGGCTGATTGGACGGTTGAGGTGACAGAAGCGTTGGGTGTTCGGGATGCTGTCCAAGGGTGGTAGAGGCAGGGGTGGTAGAGGTGGGGTGGTAAAATGTGGAGATAGAAACAGATTCTTTTACGGTGGTTCAAGGCTTGCATCAAATGACGGGTTTATCGTATTTATATCTGATTCTGGATTATATTAGGAGGATTTTAGTAACAAAGAGCAATTTTAATCTCTTTTTTTAAAAGATCTGCAAATCATGCGGCTCATGCACTAGCAAGGGCACATGTGACTTTATCAGATCAGCGACTTAATTTTGAATGTTTTCCCGACTGTATTTAAATAAACCAAATTGGACACTAAAGATCTTTTGATTTTTCCTATTAAAACATCCAAATAGGTTTGACACCTACACATTTTAAGATAGTGGGTATTGTGTGATGGAGAGTTGTGCAGAGGAGAGAGAAATGTGTAAGAAATATTGTGAATCACAGATTCTTTACTAAGAAGGGAAAGTGGAAGTTTTAATTGGAACAAACGAAAAAGGAAAGTTGAAAGTTTATTTAGGAATGAAGGGAGTAAATATACCTTTCGCTTCCACAATCAACAAAAAAATCACAATTCAGAAGCTTTATACAAACAAGAAATACAAATATTTAAGTTAATCGTTAGGAATTTCTCGATGGTGTCGATTGATCTGGGAATGAATGCAATAGTGACCGCCCTATCAACAGGGGCGGAGCTAGGGGGTGCCCAGGCTAGGCCCTGACCCACCCCAAATTTAAAAAATGTCAATATTTTTAGTGTAAAAAAATTTGTATAAATTGTTTTCAATAATATTCTTTATACCGGCCCAGTCTGGCCCAGTGCCCTGGCTCCATCCCTGCCTATCAACATTGTTGTTGGGTGAGGATTGAGGAATTTCTCGATCGACGGATTAGGAGATTTATCCCTTCTTGCAGTTGGCTCTTTGGGAGGTTATGGATCGGTGATTTTGTTGCTTGCCGCTGATGTGCGGTTCTTTTGTTTGCGATATGTTGTGTTGGAATGGCTGCTTTTGGAAATTTCGAATAAGAGTGCATATATCTAGGGATAGAGGATGATGTGAATTGTTGGCATATTAGAATTTTTGGACAACAAAAAGAGTAACTCATGCAGACTAGAACTGTAACCGAGTGGTGGAATTGTGGAAGAGAAGATCAATACCCCTACAGGAAGCTCAACGGTGGCCGAGTGAGGTTGTTGGGTTCAGGTCTCAGGTTCAATTTTCGGCAGCGACAGTGTTTTAGTTTCATCCAATGTGATGGCTTCTTGTGCACACCAAGCTCTGAACCACCTCACTCAGAAACCGTTTGAGATCATATTGTGACTTACTTCTCCACCATTCTGTCGGGTCCGTGTGGGGGCGCTTGGGGTAGACGATTCCACCTTGGATTGTGGAAGAGAAGATCGACAAAAGTCAAACAATAATGAAGCTTGAGTTGGGTGAGCCAAAAAACACAAATTGGGGCGAGTTCTGTTCTACAAGCCCACATGCTTTCAGATCAGATAATGAAGATTTGGCTTTTATTTCTGCATTATTTTTTAGTTAGTCTTTCATTTACACCATACTCTACTTCAAGTTTTAATTTTAGTATGGTAGTGTTCAGGGTCAAGGTTGAGACTTGAGAACGAGTTGAGGGACAGAATTAATAATTCAGTCACTGTAGGCTTATTGTTATCTGTTACGTGGTTAGCGAGTCAATATGCTCTTTCATAAGTGACTATTTTTATATCTAATCCTAGGGCTTAAGGTCGGATTTGGAGTAGGTGTCATGATGTTTGCCTGCACATTTTGTGTATTCAAATATACTTCGTAAGTCATTTACATTCAAACAAAATTATACAACACAAGATTAGAATGTTTTTAGTTGAACTTATTTCAATTCTAGATCATACGGTTTATTCTAGAATTTTTAGTTGATTCAAACCAGGTCAAACAAAACTTTAGCAGATCAGATCAGACTTCGATAGATATCAGACATTTATACGACCAAACCAGGCTAGTTCAAACCAAATCAGAGCTAAAAACAATAAATTAATCTCAGTAAAAACATCCATGTATCTTCTTCCTTAAAAATATGGTAGAGGAAATTAATAATGAATTACATACTCCCTCTGTCCCTAAAATGATTGCCAAGTTTGACCGACACGTACAAAAATAAAATAAAAACTGTGTGGTAGAGATTAGTGCAGAGGAGAAAGAAATAACAAGAACCGCAAATTGATTGACTAAAAAAAAAGTAGCAATGTTTTTTAGACAACCAGAAAAGGAAAGTTGACAAAGTTATAAGAGACAGAGAGTAATTTTCATGTGTAAAGTGTATTTTACCACTCAAATATTTCCAAAAAAGTAAGAACTTAATCGTATGACATCAAAATGAAAAGTGAATTAGTTAATTGCAGGACAGATGGAATATATTAGAAATGTTCAAACCAAAAAAATCTTATAATTTCTAATAGGGGAAAAAATTAAATACCCCAAACTTTGAAATGGTGTGAGGTAAACACCCCAAACTTACATGTATAATATATACACACCGAACATTACATAAAAGTTATGCTATTTTAAGGGAATTATTTAATTTTAAGGGAATTTTAGGGAATTAGTTAATTTTAAGGGAATTTTATTGAAATTTAGTGAAATTTACGGGAATTAGTTAATTTTAAGGGAATTAGTTAATTTTAAGGGAATTTTAGTGAATTTTAGTGAAATTTAAGGAAACTAGTTAATTTTAAGGGAATTAGTTAATTTTAAGGGAATTATTTAATTTTAAGGGAATTTTAGTGAATTTTAGTGAATTTTAGTGAAATTTAAGGAAACTAGTTAATTTTAAGGGAATTAGTTAATTTTAAGGGAATTATTTAATTTTAAGGGAATTTTAGGGAATTAGTTAATTTTAAGGGAATTTTAGTGAATTTTAGTGAAATTTAAGGAAACTAGTTAGTTTTAAGGGAATTAGTTAATTTAAGGGAATTATTTAATTTTAAGGGAATTTTAGGGAATTAGTTAATTTTAAGGGAATTTTAGTGAATTTTAGTGAAATTTAAGGAAACTAGTTAATCTTAAGGGAATTAGTTAATTTTAAGGGAATTATTTAATTTTAAGGGAATTTTAGGGAATTAGTTGATTTTAATATATTAATAATACTCCACATATATAATTTAGGGCAACAACTTCACAGATAATTTTAAGGCCTGAACTTTTGGTAGACAGTTTAGGGAAAATATATCAAACCTGAAGTTTCCAGATGGCTACTGCTCCAACTTGTCCAGATGCGTGGACATGGACAAACTTGCAACGACGTCGAGCATGAAAACTCACGATTGTCATGTAATCATTCAAAGACTTCTCCCAATTGCACTGAAAGAGATGCTTCCTGAACACGTATGGTCCTGCATTACTGAGATCAGTTTGTTGTTTCAGTCGATATGCTCAAGCGTTTTGGATGCAGCATCCCTCCGTAGACTAGAAGAGTCTGTTCCCATGCTGATGTGTAATTTGGAAAAGATAATGCCTCCGTCGTTTTTCGATGGAATGGAACATCTTGTAATACATCTTCCGTATGAGGCTTTAAATGGTGGACCCGTCTTCTATCGCTGGATGTACAGATTTGAAAGGTTAGTCACAATTTCATTTATCTTTGAATATTTATTTCATAACAACATTAATCTGTGTACCACTTTTATTTTACTTTGCAGATTTTTGGAGAGTTGAAAAAGAAAGTGACCAACAAGGCACACGTTGAGGCTTCAATTTGTCAAGCATATCTTCAACAAGAAATCTCAACGTTCTCATCCTTTTATTTTGAGCGTGAAGTCATCACTAGAAGAAAGAGACCTGCCCGAAACGATGACATCGGCGAGGATTTGTATGAAAATGTAGTTTCCATTTTCAATTACCCAGGTAGAGGTAAAGGAGCTTGGACAAACCGATACATCGTGGGAAAAGAATTACAAATTGCGCATACTTATATGCTCATTAATTGTCCAGAAATCTTACCGTTTTATCAGTAAGTTAAATTTGTAGTTATCTTTGTAATATATATACAATTAAGGTAGTTGATTTATAATATTTTCATGTTTGACTTCACAGTGAATTTAGAGCGGAGTACTCAGCATTCCCTGACAATGAAATTGATGCATTGGTGGACTCTAATTTTATACCGTGGTACAAGCATCAGGTATATATACATACACACACATTAATTATATATATTATTAATTAATAATATTTAATAATTACCCAATGTTATCGTGTTTTAATTTACAGATCAATAACCGTGGGATTGTGGACCCTTTGTTAGTATCATTATCGCGGGGCCCTGGTGCCTACGCCAAAGTTTGGCGGTCATATGTGATAAACGGTTACACCTATCACACAGTCGCTTACGGAAAGGGCCGACCTACAGTGAACACCGGGTTATGTGTCCCAACAATCGGTTATGATAACTCGGAAACCAATTTTTTTGGTGTCTTGCACGAGATTCTCGAACTGGAAATGCCTTCTGCTGGGAAAAAGTTGACATGCGTTTTGTTCCGCTGCAAATGGATTGATCCAACACGTGATGTGCGAAAAAATTCAAAGTATAATATGATTGACGTCAACCACTCTCGCGTGTATACGAAAAATGAGCCTTTTATACTTGCTCAACAAGCAGCCCAGATTTATTATACAGAATATCCTTCAACCAGGCGGACACAAAATCCTTGGGTGTGTGCATGTACTGTCCGTCCGAGCAAAATTGTATCACAAACTCAACACAAGGACGTTGATTTAGATGCTTTTCAGCAACATTTTTTCCAACCTCCACCGATTGTTGAGATGGTCAACCAGCACATTCAGCTAAGTGATCCAAATGGGGAAAGTGTTGAAATCATGCCAGAAACGCACCTTCCGGACCTAACAATTCCATCTGAGCGCGAAATTGTTGAAATGCATGAAGAACAACAAAATGCTTATTATCACGAAGAAGGAGAATGGATAGACGATTCTGATACAGAATAAGATGTTGTATATGTAGAAAATAATGACTCCGATAGTGACTAATTGTATTGTTGTATTACAATTTTTTTGATTTCGAATATTTGTACTCTTTTCTTCATTATTATTGTAGTCCAACAATATTTCTTCATCATTATTACTCCGTAAAAGATAAGTACGAAACGCACAATTTTTTTTATCACAATCAACTAACGAAACATTAATCATTTATTTATCATAATAACCAAACAAACAAATACAAAATTATTCATCAATATCAAAACTTTCAAGAGGCCTAGCCAACAGCTCGTGAATTTTCCTTTCAGCTTCTTCGTTGATCGGATACATATACTCCGAACATTCTTCTGCACGTTGAAGCATCCGACACAAGTTGTTTGCTTTTGACTTGCCGAGTGAGTCGGATTCCTCATCTTTATAATCGCCAAAACTTTCAAGGGGTCTAGCCATCAACTCCGTGATTCTCTGGTATGCTTCAAAGGATTTCGGCTCCATAAGCTGTGTAATTAGCTTGAGTCGTTTCATAGTTTTGCACATCGAATCCCAGTCAATTGGTTCTCGATTAGCCATTTTTTTCACAAACATTGGACCGAGAATCATCTATTTATACTCAAAATTAAACTCAAATATAATAAAGTGGAATTTATTCCACTATCGTCTAACTCCGGGCTGCGCGTGGTGGACGGATGGAAAGTATTTAGTCACGGACCGTCCGTGACTAGATCCGTGAATAATTCAAAAATCGTACAGGTCCGTGACGAGTTCCGTGACTAAGTCAAATTTTTTTGAATTAGTCACGGACCTAGTCACGGACGGTCCGTGACTAAGGCGGTTAAAGGCGGCCCTGACACCTCGCCGCGCGTCCGACTTCGTAATTTACGACGCCGAGTCACGGACTATCCGTGACTAGATCCGTGACTACTCCTTCATATAAAATCAACACTTAGCTGATTTTTCATTCCGCATTCCTTTCAGGCCAAAACCCTAAATCCTTCATATCTCCCTCTACACTCCACCGGTCTCAACTCCAACTCTGCCTTCAACCGTTCACTGCCGCCGTTCTCTGCCGCCGTTCGCTGCCGCCGTTCGCTGCCGTCGTTCGCCGCCGCCGTTAGTCGCCACCGTCTGCTGCTGCCACTGTCGGCCTCCTCCTTCTTTTTTCATAAAGGTTATGTATTCTAATTTTGATTTACCTTTAATTCTTATTTGTAGTATTTGATTTTTATTTTAAAAATGCATGTTACGGTAAGTGTGTTCCCATTATTCTCAAATTGTTTAATATGATTTGGTTAATATGCTCAAATTGATTTATGTATGTGTCATTTGATTTTAGTTAGTATCTCAAATTGATGCATGTGGAGTAATATGATTTCGAAATATAATTTCATTTAGTTTATAATATTGCTTTAATTTTTGAATTGAAATATAATTTAGTTTTCGAAATACTTGTTTTCTGTATGCATGTTATCAATTAATATGAGAAACACACGTTTTTTTGGCATGCCTTTATTTGTTGTGTACAAGTTTTATTACATGTTCTATATGCTCAATATAATTGGCATGATTCAGTTTATTACATGTTCTATATGCTCAATATAACATGATTTAGTTTGTATATATGATTAATTGGCATGCTTATATTGGTTGTATATAAGTTTAATTAATATGTATGGCTACATAAAATTTCATTATAAGTTAAACATGCATGATTAAATAATATCTTTTTTAATTTCGGACTTATGAATTAAAGAACATGAGTTAGTTTATTTAATATGTATGCCTCTTTACATTATATGCCCAAATAATTAAAGAAATACCCCCTCGTGTTAAACCTCCAAAAACGTTTAACATGTTAATTATTAAATATTAAGTTAGACATGAAAAAACACCCCCTCATGTCAAACTTCCAAAAAAGTTTAACATGTCAATAATTATAAAATATTAAATTAGACATTAAGAAACAGTTTTCTCAAATTTAATATAAAATAAACACTATGAAAAAACAGTGTTTGTTAAATAAATCGTTTTAATTAAAAAGTTTTCCCGAAGTAATTAAAAAATATACCCCCTCATGTCAAACTTCCAAAAAAGTTTAACATGTTAATAATTATCAAATAATAAGTTAGACATTAAAAAATAGTTTTCTCAAATTTAATATAAAATATACACTATGAAAAAACACTGTTTAATAAATAAAGCCTTTTTAATTAAAAAGTTTCCCGAAGTAATTAAACAAAATACCCCCTCATGTCAAACTTCCAAAAAAGTTTAACATGTTAATAATTATAAAATGTTGAGGTAGACATAAAAAACAGTTCTTAAAAAACTGTTTTATAAAAAATAATAAACTGTTTTACAAAAAACTGATTTCTAAAAAACTGATTTCTAAAAAATTGTTTTATAAAAAACTGTTTTATAAAAAACTGTTTTATAAAAAACTGTTTTATAAAAAACTGTTTTATAAAAAACTGTTTTATACAAAACTGTTTTATAAACACTGTTTTATAAACACTGTTTTATAAACACTGTTTTTTCAAAACGCCGTTTTTTTCAAAAACGGCCTTTCAAAAACGGCCTTTAAAAAACGGCCTTTATTTAAATCAAAATTTGATCTTCTATTATATTTACACAATTATTTGAAAATGTAAATTAATACTCCTCATTAATCAATTATTTTAGATGAGCAATGAACAATCCACATCCCGTGCTCGCCCGAACTATGCGCCCTTAACCCAAACCGAGCGCAACAATGAAGATTCCGAATGGGTGACACCTCACATGGTTGCTAAGTAAGTAACTATGAATTTTATCTAATTTCAAATAATTAAATAATTTTTTTAATGAACTATAAAAAAATATTAATTTTTTGAAGCGATCAAGATGTGCTCAACCAAATCAAAATCATAATTGGTGGACACTTTCTTGGCAACTGGGCGACGTACACGGATGTTGATCCCAAGGTCCGTGAACTTTGGTGGAACTTGTTCAAGGTAAAAAAATCAATTTTTCGTCATTGATGTAACATAAAATTTGACAAGGCCCCGCTATTCAAGTTCATTTATTTTTTTAATAAAGGCCCGGTTTCGCTGGACTGAAGAACAAGGCCCCGCTATTCTAACACTTCTCCCCTGCAGTCCTTCAACACTCCCCACCGCAGAGGTTTCTCACAACGCTCGCAGCAGTGCATCCACTACAACACTCACCGTCGCAGCAGTCCACTCCAACACCCACCGCCGCAGCAGTCCACTCCAACCTCCACCGCCGCAGCACTCTGCAAACCAGCCGACCGACGCACCAACGAACCGACCGACGCCCAACCCCCCTTTCCAACCTGTGATTCCATTTCCCAAATCTCTTTTTGAGGTATTTTTTTCTCAAAAATCATTGCACAATCTTATGTATATGATTTATTGCATTATGTTTACCATTGTGATGGACATCATTGATTTTTTTTAGATTAAGTTGTCATTCTTTTGAGATCCATTTCTTGCACACCAAGTGTTTGATGTTATGCCTCATCACTTTTGTACATGCTAGTTGCCGGGCTTAGGGCGTTCATATCACACATCTTCGAGGCGTACAATTGGAGCAATTATGGCTCAAAATACCAGCAGCAGCCGCCGACAGAGGCCAAATATACTAATGACGGGAACTCCGGGTACGGGGAAGACGACGACGGCGTCTGCCCTCGCGGACGCCGCTCAGCTTCGCCACATAAACATCGGCGATCTAGTCAAAGTGAAGAACTTGCACGACGGCTGGGACGATGAGCTCGACTGTTTCATCATCAACGAAGACCTTGTAAGGCTTACACATTAATGACAACGTTCCCTGCTCTTGCTAACAGATCTTTTCAATTAACATTCAGATTATTTCGTGTACTCTAGAAGAGTAAAGGTTCAATTGCTTGTGTATCCGTACGAAATATCATTTTGCATTTGCACCCGACGTTTGAAAAGAATAAGAAAGACAATATTGCCTATAAGAATTTTGAGAACAATCACTTCATTAGTGTAGTAACTTGGTAACGGAGAGTAGTACCTAGTTAGTATTGTTTTCAGTGCCATTTAGTTGTTAATAATATGGTTATAACTTATAAGAAATTAAATTTGATTTTATTATAATCCTGTTTTTGCTAGATTTGAGAACCAATCAAACCTCTCAAATGCTTCAAGGTTTGAAATCAGTTTTTGTTGTTGTTGGAAATTTACAAAACTTGAGCTGGTGCCAAACATGGACAGATAACAGATATAAGTTAAAAAAAGTTTCTCATTGAGCATTTCTGAACAATTTTTCCTGTTTTAAGTCTAATTGTTAATGGCTTCTCCTCTAGGTTTGTGATGAACTTGAGGATATGATGGAACAAGGTGGAAACATTATTGATTACCACGGATGTGACTTCTTTCCAGAGCGTTGGTTTGATCGTGTTGTTGTTCTTCAAACTGAAAATTCTGTTTTGTATGATCGCTTGAAACAGAGGTAACATATTAAGGGCTTTTCTAAGGATTATTTGGTTGAAGTGACTAGATCTGTTGAATTTTCGAAAGATAATGCGGTGGTTGAAGCGACTATACCTATTGAATATCCTAGAAGGAAAAGCTTAGGAAGAAGTAGTTTAAATTCAAATAAGTTTGTTAGAGCCCATTAGGTAAGACTAAAATGAACTGAATTGTCAAATCCCTTGAAGTTGGAGAAGTTTTGGATGAATTAGCTCAATCTGTCGAATTATAAAAAAGAAGGTAAAACATACGGAGTATATGAACATAAAGTGCAGAAAGAATTATATGAATAGTTAAAAGTACCTCCGTTTGTACCTTTTCATTGTTAACAAATTTAGCGCGTGAAATAAAAAATTAGTGCATAAGCTGGTAATTAAAAAACAAGCTGACCAAATGGGTACTTAAAATATGACGGGTGAGGGTTATTCAGCTTGTGTTGAGTAGAAAACTACTTAATGTGGCCAAATATGATGAATTTTCTAAAAGATAAAGCATTTGGTAAAACAATTTCGGCCGAATAAGTAAATAGAAAACTACTTAATGTGGTTATTCCTATTATTTTGCTTAGAGTAGTCCACATTATGGTACCACACATGCTCTTATTCTTATTATTCTCTTTCATTTTCACCCTTACCAATCTCAATACATTTTTTCATCTACTATTGTAATGGTGGTGCAGGGGTTACTCAGATGCAAAACTAAAAAATAACATAGAATGTGAAATTTTCCAAGTGTTACTGGAGGAGGCAAAAGAGAGTTATAGAGAGGAAATTGTATTTGCATTAACGAGTAACTCCATTGAGGATGTTGCCAGGAATGTTGAGACCCTTGCTTATTGGGTTACCAGCTGGAACAGCACATTGTAAGATTGTACTTATTTTGTTTTCATAGAAATATATGATTTTGCAGAATGGTTTTGTCTAAGTGTTGTTTTTATGTAGTATTTGTGGACCATATGTACTTTTATTACTGTTTTCTATTTTCATAGAATTGCTTGGTTTCAGAAATTTAGCCATTGTTTCTTGTATGGACCTAAGAGGTGAAGGAAGGAATGTGGGTGGTGTCTGTTTAAGTGTTTAGTTTGGGCCTTTGGCACTTCGGCCAGTTAGAACGTGCAGAGGGCAAGCATCTGTTCACTTAGTATATTTATAGAAAAACTTTTCATCTCACACACTACTTGACTGTTTGATTCTAAAAGAATCACAAAAGCACTATCTTGTATTGTTGAGAGGTCATTAGTCATTACGTATACAATTGGAAATGTCACAATGTATATGCTATAAAATAAACAGCTTTATGTCATTACATAATCATGTTACAACTTACAAATACGGAGTAATAAATTTCTACTGCTGCAAAACCGATATAAGACACTATCATAACTATGGATGGACTCGGGCCGGGTGGCCCGACCCGGAACCGGCCCGGGACCGGTACTGTTCCGGCCCGGCCCGACCTGGTGGCCCGGTCAGTGACCGGTCCGGGCTCGGGTCACCCAAAACAAGGCCTGACCCGGCCGGGCCCGGGCCCGGTTCGGGCCAAAAACTATTTTTTTTTCTTTTTTTTCAATTTTTTTTAGATTTTCGGGTTGGGCTGGGTATTTTGGGCCATTTGGGGTAGTTTGGGGGGTTGGGGGTGGGAGGGGGTTAATTAGGAAGAGGAAAACAAAAAAAAATATAATGGGCCCGGCCTGGCCCGGACCCGGTGGTTACCCGGACCGGTCCCGGGTCCACCTTTTCTGACCCGCCGGCCCGGATCCGACCCGGACCCGAGTCCATCCCTAATCATAACTGGCATCAGTTTCCGAATAGATTGATTTCGGTTTATATTGGAATTGTATTCTTTATAAAATGTAAATTCGTAGTATCATGGGCCTTAATTAGTTGCCTTATATATATTTTTCGTTAATAAAATGTAATTATTATTTAGTTGAGCTTAGGATGCAGGGTTTTATTTTTCTATGCTTAGTTTAAAAAAGGCGCTAGGTGCTTGCAGGCGAAGGGTTTATCGCCTTTAACTTACCCAGGCGGCTCAGAGTCTCAGAGGCGAGCGCCTTTTGCGCTTATTAGCGCCTTTTGCGCTTCTGAGTGGTGAGCGTCTTTGACGCCTCATGGACTTGCGCTGGTCTTGCAATTCCCTTCTGCGTTTTGTCTTCCTGTCTTGCGCTGGTATTATTCCGACTTCTGCGAGGTAAGTCTTTTTTTTATCTTCTGCTATTTATTCTTATATTTATAAAAATATTAAATTTATTTAAATAAAAAGTTAGATAACTGATACATATGTAGTATTATCTTTCGCTATATATAAGTTTTGATAGATATTATTATTAACATTTTTTAACAATTTTTTTATATAACAGTTTATTACATTAATTATTGAAATTACTATTAACAGTTTTTATATAACTTAATGATTTAATTTATCACAGAATGACTATTAATTTATCAGAGTTTATTACATTAATTATTTAAATTAATATTAACAATTTTATAAGTTAATTATTTAATTTATCACAAAATGACTATTAATTTATCACAGTTTATTACATTAATTATTTAAATTACTATTATCAGTTTTATATAAGCTAATTATGTTTTGAAGTTTTAAGACTGAGTTTTGTGACTTGACTTTTGGCAATTATGCCTTTAAACATATATTTCTTTCTTCTGTCTTATTGTCTTTAATTAATATTTTGTTTCTCTTGTGATGTTTATTAAAACTCCGTCACGAGATCATCTTTTTTTGTATCATGCTTGTCCCAACTCCCAAGTCAGGATAAAGGAGGAGGGTGATGTGGTAGGCGCGTGACGGCCAACAGTATCACTTAGTCATAGCACCATTAACATGTATTTTTTATTCATAAATGTAAACTTATGACGTTAAGCACATGGTTTAAAATACTTAAACATTTATAGAGATGTAGTTAAAGCATCATAAATCTACATTATGAAAGGAAAAACATATGTTCATGGTACTAATATTACTTTTATTTAAAGTTCAGGGTATAAATATTAAATATTACATATGAAAGTTTGGGGTGTTTACCCCACAACTCTTCAAAGTTTGGGGTATTTAAATTATTTCCTCATTTCTAATTCGACCAAATAAACTTAGAACGTAATTCAGAGACTCAAAGCAATAAAAAACAGGTTAGACAAGATCATTTTTTTGGTGAAAAATTACTCTTTTTTGGGTGAAATATTAGACAATATCTTATGCATTCAATTTAGACGAAAAGAACAACTTGCTAAAATAGTACAAAAACCAGAGAAATGAAAACTTAGAATATGAAAAAGTCCTGTGGTGGTTAAATTAAAAACTACATACAATCTTAAACAGATTAAATAAGAAAATAAGTCAAATAAAGTGGAATACCGGAACACGCAGAGCAATCTCTTATTCATCATATTACTACCACCGTCTTAAGAGGTAACACAGGCTGGAGTTTATCACTTACCAGTTTCTTTCAAGAAATGTCATGTCGTGCATGAAGAATCAGCAATATTCTTCTTCAAGCTAAAAAAAAAGGATGACACCCCATCCCTGAGGGTCCCCAACCCCGACCGGACGGTACATTGGGAGGATGTAAATTGGACTATAATCCCAATCTGACAGATATAGAGTGGGGCTCTGTACTCGATACTTGAAGAGATCCTATGCATTTTTAGCATAGTAACCCCTCATCGTAGTTGCCGGGATTCAAGCTAAAAATACTATTGACCAAAGGATGATTACTATCTACTCCATCGCTAGATTTTGTGTACTCCCTCCCGTCCTGAATAAAGTTCGGTGTTTGACTTCACTCAAATTAAGGAAATAAATTTGACTTTACTGTAGAGTACACTGTTGTGACACTATTTGGCACTGTTTGACACTGTTTGACACTATTTTGATGTAGATAATTTGCCAAATAAGGAAGACAGAAGAAGTGTGAGCTTTATTTTGGACCGGCCCAAAAAGAAAAGTGTGAACTTTATTTAGGACCGGAGGGAGTAACTGATAACTATAGCGACAATGTTTCACTGATAATCCAATCTCTAGACATACACTAACTGGTAAAGATCACCTTGCCTTTGCTTCTCTAACGGCAGATTTGTCCTGTGTGCATCAAGCAAATGGAACAAGTTCGAAATGTAACCGAAAGGTGAGAAGAGCACAAACAAATCTATTCTTCACATATCTCACCTCCTAAGTTCAATTTGTGAATAATCTATTTTTGCCTCTTCATGCTCAGTGGTAGCTACTATTTCCCCGAACTGCCAATCAGATTGCAACAAATTAAAATTATAACAAAACATAAATTTTAAATTACTAGTATCAATTGCTAACAATGAACTAGCAACCTATAGTTCTTGGATGATAGCAGATTGTAAGAGTGAAAACTACTCCTTCCGCTCCTAACTTACAAGGCATAGTAGGATGGTCTTATAAGTTAATCACTTTTATACTATCAATGTATACTTAATACTATCAATGTCACGCTTAAAACTCTCAAACACAATTCCTGGATAAATGACTAAATATTTAAAGGCATAATAGGAAAGTAAGATTATTTTAAATACTTTTTTAATCATATTTCTTTATTCTGAGCAACTGAAGATTGTGTGGAAAGGACACTTGCAAAACTAATAGGAAAGTAAGATTACTGTTTTAGGAAAGGCATAATAGGAAAGGCATAATAGGAAAGTAAGATTACTGTTTTACAACTGGAGGTAGTAAAACTATTAATTGTAGAAGGAAAGGAGCAATCTATTTTCTTCTTTATATTCATCTTGTGTGGAAAGGACACTTGCAAAATCCAGCATCTCAGAGGAGAAACATGTTTGCTTCTCCACTGATCCCACATATCAATTTTTAGCATTTAAGAGGACAAGAACAAGAAAAAAGTAAAGTCACCGGTCAAACAAGTGCGGACCTACATAAAGCTGCAAAATATATTCCTAAACACTTCGTCAATATTGTGCAACAAGTCACTACTCACTCTTGGATTAATTGATCCCACTATTCTCTCGACATAATTACGTGTTTAGGACATTCTTACTATTAGCCTTGCGTTTTTATTTTTCCACTTTTGGTCACGGTTATAGATTTATTGATCATTTACAGTCCACTCAACCACAATTTTGACCGAAGTCAACCAGAAGTTTTACGGAAATTGACCGGGTTAAGTGGTCAGGAGTGCGGTATGTGAATAACTATAGCTGTGGGACCAAAAGTAGAAAAACAGAAGCTGGAGACCAAAAGTGGAATGAATTCATCTTGGAAAGTCCTTTTGTTTTCTCCTCACTTTTCTGCAGATTTTGTATTCAATTACATATTTTAAAAGGCACAACAGCAATGCCCTTCAGCAACCATCATACAAGCTCTAATTTGTGAGTTGTGAGTTGTGATTTGTGTATAGAAAATAATATTAACGAATTTGTGTGATATCCTGATTTGCATTCCAGCCACGGAAGGTTGTATAGGTACTTAAGACTGGCTAGTCATACAAAATAGTATCACACTAGCCTGATACAGGCTGTTTCGTCTGTGAGTACCATCGGCATAGAAAGGAGCCTAATTAATTGGTCCACAAATTATCTTGGCTACATCTATTTAATTAGTTTTATGTATCCTAGCCATTTCCTATTATTTAGCTTTCCATATTTTAGTCAATCTCTTATTTCTGAGTTTGTTATAGTTTAGAACTCTTACCATTCCTGTTTTAGGACTCTGGCTTTTTCCTTTGAGGCTTACCACTTGGAAATTGGAATAATAACTAGCTTTGG